TAGTTAAAAACTTTAATTTCTGGCACTTTGGATGTGTTCTTTTAGTTGCTGTAGCCAGTGCAGTGTTTATCCCCAAGTGATTTCTGCTTTAAATCTTAAGCTGAGTTTGAGAGTGTCAGTAATGCCGCTGGGCAAAAGCTCAAGATAAGTACTATTAAAAATGGGGCTAGCATTTTTGTGTGCATTATCATAGTTGCACGGGCATGTAATAGGTGAGTAAAATCTTTGCCTCAATTAGGTATAAAGGAACATGACAAGATAGGATGCCAGGATAGATAAGAGAGAGGGAGGAAGCCATATAGGGAGGGTTATAGGGCTGCCTGCTTGGGTGATATATTGCATGCCGTGTGCTCTGGCTTCTGTAGCGAGCAAGAAAAATAAGGCATGAGAATATTGTGGACTGAGAAACAGTGCAGTTCTGGGCTGAGGTTTGAAAGGTGTGGTGGTGAGGTCAAGTGGTGAATGTTAGGGGTCCTGAAAGACAGTGAAGCTACAGAGGGCACGTACCTGCACAGCGAGGTATACAGGTTGTGCTTTGGAATGTATAGTTTACATAGGTGAGAAAGAAGATGGAAGGAAGCAGAACTCATGTAGAAGGAAGCAGACCAAGTGTAGATTGTCCTTGTCTGGACTTCCCATCCAGTTCTTCAGTCTCTAGACAGCAGATTTCCTTTCCCTCTGAGTCTTCATTCCCTGCATCACTACAGCCTTCTTTCTGTCTTTTCTGTTTAGTTTTTTATCTCCCATGTTCTTCTAGATGTTGGGAATGCTGTCGCTAGATGAATTCTTTGTTCCTCCTGGTGTTTTTCTGAATTGTTTTCTGGAGGTTTGCCAATTTTGCTTTCGTTAGTACATCATTCAGCCCAATTTGAGCTAGTTTCTCTGAAAAAAAAAAAAAAAGACACTTTCTCTGATTTTCTTTGGCACTTCTCTTCCAGAAGAATCATTGCTGCCTCGATTGAAGTGATGTATGATATCTGACAAACACAGTAGTATTTGTGTATTTGAAGACCACAGGTTGCATCCTCTAATGGATCTATAAATAGTGCTGCAAAAGCAGGCCATTAGTGCTAGTTAAAATGAGCAAAATCTGAGGCCTGGGGCTTTTTAATCAAAAAACAGGAACCTCATCTCCCAGGGAAATAAATACCCTTGATGCACACCATGCTTTTCCAGATTTTTGCAGTGGCTGACACCATTGTTCTGTCATGATGGGGAAGTGTTTTCTGTCCCTATGTGTCCCTGTTGCACCTCAGTGGACAGTGGAGTTTGTCCCCTGTGCAGCCTTGATTGAGAAGGAGGCTTTCCAAGTCTTGTGGTTGGGAGTGGACCCCACAAGTCCCAGTGCATTCTCTGTGCAGTGTCAGCTTTTTCACCTGGGGAGGTAAGGCAGAGGAGGAGGAGGAGGCACCATGCTGTAGTGCTGAGCATTCAGAAATACCTTGATCTCATGATTCCTTGGACCTTTGTGTGGCAGCAAGTTGGGAGACCTGTTTCTCTTGTGAGACTTCTCTTTCCCCTTGCTCAGGGCTTTTCCCGTGATGAGTAATGCATTGAGTACCACCTGAAAATCGTAGTGGAGACAGAAATACGTATCTGTGTGTCTTCATCTATTTATGAACCTTTTTGTTGCTACATGCTGCTGGAACTGAAATTCCTCGAGCTGTACAGCCCAGCTGCCATAAGCCTCCAGGACAACACTAGGACTGTAAATTGTTTGTTTTAAAGCAACTTTTTTTTATTGCAGCAGCTCTATTAAAGGATCTTACTGCAAAGGAAAATTGGGCTGTAGCACTTTTATCTACTGTGTGCTCTCAGGGAAGTGAGGTGCTGCAGTGATGGTGTATGGTGTGATGCTGAACAAGCTTCGGCACTGCTCCTGTGCTATTTCATTGCTAGGAGCACTGTTTAACAGCTTCCCTTTTATGGCATTGGGGTGAGATTATATCCTTGCTTTTCTCTCTGTGAAGCTGCATTGAGACATGTGAGAGAAAGCTCCAGGAGGTGGGCAGGGAGATTGGAGTGCCTGAAGGTACAGTGGGGAAACAGACTTGCTCAGGCACACCAAGGGCTTTGCCCTTTCCCCACTCGCACAGAGCAGTAACAGGAGGCTGTTTGCAGGGGTCTGGCACAGAGGCAGAGCAGTGGTGGGATTCCAGTCTCCACTTCGGAAGGAAATGGAAATGCCAAAGGGGTGTGAGGCACTAGCATGTCCGGAGCAGCTGTAGTGGCCCCTGTTGGAGGGAGAGTGAGCTTTGTGAACTCCTCCTGTACCATCACTTGCTGGTGCCCAGAAACTGATTCTGGGGTCTGGGGAGTTTCCCATCAGTGGTGGGAAACTGAGGTTTCTCTGTCCCTTCATGCTCGCTCTAAGCTTTCTGTGAAGGAAGCTCTGAGTGGTGCTTCGGGTGATTTCTCAAGTTCATGACTACTCCTTTTGACATGCAAGTGCCAGCAAGAGTTCTCAGCTGCTCTGCTTTGTAATGTCAGGGTCTGGAGAACTGTGTGAAAATTTCTATTATGTCTCAGCCTGCTGTCCTTCTGCCTGTGCTACAGGCTCTTTAAAGGAAGACTTCATGTACTCTGTGCCTGATGGCCTGTTTTATTTCTTCAGAAGTACCAGTGGTAGCTGGCAGTATTACTCTGCTTTCAGTATCTGATTAGGAAAGTCGTGGGGATAAGCAGAGAAAAAGAGTATAATGCCAAGTCTTTCTAGCTAGGCTGTGTACAGTCCAGAGCAGTGCTAATGTCATGTTAAAATCTGATACCAGTCATCTGGGCTTGAGCCTTCTTGCTGGATTTATTGAGGAACTGAAAAGCTGGCTGGTGACCGTGTGTTCTGTACAATTCCTTGGAGTCGTAGCTGGTTTTGTGCACTCCCACATACATGATCAGACTTGTGTGAAGAGAAGGAGAATTGACCTCTTAACCTCATGCCTGTTCCAGGTGCCTCCTCTGTCTTTATACTGGCAGTAGATAGAAAGCAGCAGCTCTGATCCTTCCTCCGTGCTGCCTGACCACTACTTCCAGTTCATTTCTCACCCCAGTAACATGTCCTTCCATTTTCCCCTTCTGACTAATGTCGGGGGAGAGCCCTGTCATCTTCCCTCTTGTTTTACATATTAATTTTCCCATATTCTTCCCAGGTCTATGTTAATTTTTACTCACCTATTGGCCTGTATTTTTTTATGCCCCCTGGTGCTCTTCATGTTTGTTCTCCCTTCTTCCTATGGTCTTCAGGAGAATTTTTGTGGTCCGTAATTTAAGTGTGCATTCCATGTCCTGTAGGATTTGGAGTTGTAGAATGGTGTTGCCAGGGTCTGAAGTATTCTTCAGGCTCTTGATATGCTGCAGAACAGTCTGAAGAGCCCTTTGGAATATATTTGGCTTGTACAATGCTCTTGGGGCTCTCCTGTGCAGCTCCAGGAATTGGACTTCAATGATCCCTTGTATCCCTTTCAGCTCAGGCTATTCTATATTCTATAGTCCATGCAGGTGAAGTGGACTACAGAAAATGGTAGCACTTTGCCAAAGTGCTGCCTGATCTGTGGCCTGGTTTTGATGTACAGAGCTGGTGGAGAAGGTTGTCTGGGATGAGCTGTTGCAGAGCAGTCTTTAAGATTAACCTTTCTGACCCTGAGTCTTTAGGGTCAGAAATTTATAGGCAACGTGCTTCCAGTAGATTCCTCCCAGCAGCCTGTTCTGCTTTTGGCGGTCAGGCAAGCTTCTTAGATCAGCCCAGTGCTGAGGTTAGAGTTATCTGCTGGCTCATGACTGACCAGATGTTCGAGTGCATCTGGAAGCCTGTTCTCTTACTTAGACATGCAAAGGCTACCTCTTCCTGTCTGTGCAGACAGACACCGCTTGTGCCCATTGCTCCAGTAAGTACTGCTGCACAGTGGGGTGCTGTGGGTGATGAAAGCTGTGCCTGCTGCTGGTGTAAAGTGAGTTGGAAGGATTCAAGCAGGATCCATGTTGTCCCATCTGCTCTTCTGTCCCACGGGAACACCACAACCCTGCATTGAGGTATCTCAGGTGATGCTGTGAGGTGTATTTTCCAGCAGAACAAATTTAAATCTGATTCTGACTTTCTGATGGCTTTGGGTTTTGGGACATTATAAAAGCTAATTTAAAAACAAACATGCTTTTTTTTTCATTCCTCTGTGTTTACAAGTGTATACCCTAATACCACAGGCCAAGTCTGACCTGCAGAAAAATGTTTTCACTTATTTTCTAAGGTATTGCATGCTCTTCTCTGATACTCAGGAATGAGTACTGGACTGTGAGGGGTCTTTTCTGGGTGTCTGTCTGCCATGTGCAAAACTTTATTTCTGCCTGCTCCAGCAACTCTGCCTGCCAGCTGTGTTTTGTGTTACTCATTTTCTTGGTGTCTTGTTGTTGTGGTATTACCCCAGCTGTCCACCAAGCACTGCACTCATTAAATTCCTATTCCATGCAGGAGAGGTTGTGAGAGAGCACTGGAAGGGTAAAAGTGTTGGATTCAGATAATGACAGCTTAGTAGCTAAAGCAAAAGTCATGCACACAAGCAAAGCAAAACAAGGAATTCATTCACCACTTCCTGAGGCAGGCAAGTGTTCAGCCATTCCCAGGAAAGCAGGCTCCATCATGCATAGCAGTGTCTTGTGAAGACAAACCCCATCATTCTGAACATCCCTTCTCCTCTCCTCTCCCCTCCCCACCCTCCCTGTTCTTTTTGTGCTGAGCATAATGCCATATGGTATGGAATATTGCTAGGGTCTGCTCTCCTGGCTCTATCCCCTCCCAGTACCTTGTGCACCCTCAGCATGCATGCTCGCAGTCATACAGCAGGGAGAAAAGGCCTTGGCTCTGTGCAAGCACTGCTCAGCAGTAACAAAAACGTCTCTATATTATCAGCACCATTTTCAGCACAAATTCAAAACTCATACCAGTCGCTGTGAAGAAAATGAACTCCACCCCAACCAAAACCAGCATGCTCAAAGTGGGAAGTTCACCCGTGATGCTGTGCCACCTTCTGACCGAGTGTCACAGCAGATTCTTTGATGAAACGTGCATTGCTGTGCTGAAACAAGAGGTAAAAGTGATAGAAATCTTGCTGTCCTGCTTTGCTTCAGCCAAGTGATGCCAGTTTTTGACTTGATGAGAGGCAGAAGTTGGGTAAGTGTTGTGCTTGAATTATGGTGTGCTAGGCCTGCGCTCTGCTGCTGCTTTTGGCAGATACCCAGATAATGTATCAGGTGATGCTACTGTTGAGAGGATGCAATGTTACCTTTCAGGAGGAGAAAGCCAATGCCAATATCCTTATGTCTTTATTTAATGAAAGTGGAATTTTTACTGCAGGACCTGAGAAAAACAATGGTCAAAGAGGACTTTATGTGAGCAAAGTCACTTTAGGAAAAGTCCATGCTGGCAAGCTGCTGAGCCAGGTGACCCGCTGGCTTGGCACCATGTTTTCCTTAAGCCCTCTGCTGCAGTGGCCTGGCGTAAATATGTGTACTTACTCAGCTGTGTCTCCCTTTCTCCCAGCAAAATGAGCTGAACTCCTTCCTGTGGACAATCAAGAGAGATCCCCCATCTTATTTCTTTGGCACCATCCATGTCCCATACACGCGTGTCTGGGATTTCATCCCAGAGAACTCCAAGAAAGCCTTCCAGCAGAGCCACATCGTGTACTTTGAGCTGGATCTCACTGATCCCTACACCATTTCAGCTCTCACCAGCTGCCAACTCCTGCCACAGGGGAAGAACCTCCAAGATGTGCTGCCCCACGACATCTACCGCCGGCTGAAGCGGCACCTGGAGTATGTCAAGCTCATGATGCCATCCTGGATGACCCCAGATCAGCGGGGCAAAGGGCTGTATGCTGACTACCTCTTCAATGCCATTGCTGGCAACTGGGAGCGGAAGAGGCCGGTCTGGGTGATGCTGATGGTGAACTCCCTGACAGAGGTAGACATCAAGTCACGAGGTGTGCCCGTCCTGGATCTGTTCCTGGCCCAGGAAGCGGAGCGGCTGCGGAAGCAAACGGGCGCTGTGGAGAAAGTAGAAGAGCAGTGCCACCCGCTCAATGGGCTGAACTTCTCCCAGGTGAGACGGAGTGGTGTGCTGGGTGCCAGGCTAGCTGCTGAGCTGGATATCGCAGCAGCAACAGCATGGGCTGGGGCGTGGGGTGAGTGCTTTCTACCCAGAGACTTGTGTCTGCTCCCTGCAGCCCCTGCCTTTGCCTGCATCTTCAGGAGAATTTGCTAGCACAGGAGATCAGGCCAGAAATGAATTCATCCAAGCTCGGCCTGGGAAGACCCCCTGATTTCTTCCTTGGGTATGTTCCACCCTCAGAGACACTGGACCTTTTGGATGTGCTTTCTGACCCTGACTGGGCTGCCTTGCAGGAGCTCAGGACAGGCTGGGCCTCAATGTCCAAACTTGTTTTTGTAATAGCAAGTTAAATAGAAAGGTGTGATTACTTGGGGAAAGCAGGGGTGCTGTGAGTAGTGCTGAGAAGTAATTGCTGGTTGGAAAGCAACACAGTGAATATCTTGATGCCCTCAGAAATAGGGGCCCAACATCCACACTGGGAAAAGGGAAAAGGTGGTTTTTTGTGTTTGTTGGTTTTGATTTTTTTCCCTTCCTTTGTTACCAGGGAAGGGTCAGCACAACACAGCTTTCTTCAGGGAGCTTCACAGACTAGTACAGGCCCTTGTGCAAATGCTGTTGTATTTGCAAACCTGTTGGAGTTCAGCACTGTGGTTCATGCAGCAGAATGACCTCTATGTTGTCCATGTGTTGGATGAGATGCTCCTCTCTGAATAAAATACACCAGGCAGTAATGTCTGTTGTTGTCTCTGCCCAGTGGGATCACAGGCATAATGTTGCTCTCTGATGTGCGGTACCTTCACTGCAGGGCAGTGCTAGTTTGGGGAGTGGAAGTGGCATTTGCTTAGGAATAATCAAGACCTGCATTTTGCAGAATGCCTTAGTAGCACAAGATGGGAGGACCTTTAGTCATAGGGCTGGGGAGTTTTGATTGATGCCCTGCTCTCTCCCCTGCATCCTGAAGCCTGTCCTGTCACTGATGCACAGTTTGGAAGGGAAGGAAGAGAAGAGAGGGCAGGGACAGCAGCTCAGGACAAATGCCTGAAGTGTCTGAATGCTGCTACCCCAGACAGCGATGGTGGGGGGACCATGGTGCAGGGAATGCATGCTCATCACCTGAGCAGTCTTTAACTGCAGGCAGTTCTCTTTTCCATTGTTTGGAGCTGGCAACCTCATTTGCATCTCCAATCTTTTGCTTAACACTGTGCTTTGAATCTTTATGCTGTTGCTCTTTGCTCCCAGCTAACCTGGGAATAGGCTGGGAAGTCCCTTCTTTTCTACCACTTACCTGGTTGAGGATTTATAGACATTATCGCCCATGTTTTTCTTTTGCAGGCATTGCCCCTAAAGTTTATCATGATAGAAGTGGAGGCATGGGCATTTTTCTCCACTGCCTTGTAAGAAAGTGGTAGGGAGACTGAGAAATTTTGATTGCAAATCATGTCCCTGCTAAGCTCATGTAAGTGTTGTCTCTTAGGCCTTCACAGCTTTACTCAAAGAGCAGCTGTTTTTGTGCTGTTTTGCAGAGGGGATAAATACCAAGTCATCCATGAAGCTGCATGGGCAAGGGACACAGAGCTGCAACATCCAGAATTGCCCAGCCTTCTGACAAGGTCAGAGAGACAAAAACTGCAGGAACAACTTACCTCTAGTTGGGAAAATCATACCCCGTGGTTGCCCCGCGGTGAGTGGAGGTGTGCATTTGCATCACGAAGGCTGCAGCTCCTCCCATGCCTGCTCGCTTCCTGGGGAGGGAGTGTACAGTTCCTTGACTGGAGCAGCTACAGCACTGCAAATTCTTCACACCTCCACTGCTGCCCACTACTAGATTTCCAATACAGGCAGCTCAAGGAGAAGGAGAACCAGAGGTAGATGATTTCTGTGCTTCTGAGCCAATTTCATGGCTGTTTCAGAAACTAAATTGTGAACTGTCGTGGTTGGCAATCATGTAAGTCTTTGACTTCAGAGCTTTCTTGTCTGTTTGTTCAGGCAGTAGAGTTAATTAGGTGTTTAATAGAAACCAGACAAAGAGTTTGAAATAGGTTCTTTGAAAATTATTTTCTTTGGTGTGATGTTCTTTGCAAACTCTCAGTACTGGGCCGCTTCCGTGACCGCTTTTCAAACAAGCAAACACACAGGCATGACTTAGAAACTTATGTTGGGAAAAGTGGAACAAAACCCATAAGGAATAGTCTAACACTGTACAAGAAATATAACAGAATTACAGAATGGCCTGAGTTGGAAGGGACCTCAAAGATCACTTTGTTCCATCCCTTCTGCCATGGGCATGGACACCTTTCACTAAGAGCAGGTTTCTCAGAACCCCATCCAACCTGGCCCTGAACTCTTCCAGGGATGGGGCATCCACAGCTTCTCTGGGCAACCTGTGCCACTGCCTTACCACTCTCACAGCAAATAATTTCTTCCTAATATCTAGTCTAAACCCACTGTCTTTCACTCTGAAGCCATTCCCCTTTGCCCCTTGTAAAAAGTCTTTCTTGTGGGCTTCCTTCCTTTACTGGAAGGTGCATTATAGGTCACCCTGAAGCCTTCTCTTTTTCAGGCTGAATGATTGTCTCAGCCTTTTCCTATAGGAGAAGTGCTCCTTTCTTTTAATCCATCTTGGTGGTCTCCTTTGAACCTATTCCAACAGGCCTTCTCACAGGGCTGCTTTTGACCTGTTCATCCCCAGCCTGTGCTGATGCTGGGGGTTGATCCAAGTGCAGCAAGTGTCATTAAGTCTTGTTAAACTGGATGAGATTCCTGTGGACCCATTTGTCAGACTTACCAAGGTCCCTCTGGATGTCATCTAGGGAGATGCTTTTTTTCTTACAGCAGAACTACAGAGAACTTATTTAATTAGCAGAGAAACAAGGTCAGTGTTTTCAGTTTGTTTCTGCATAGGGTTTGCTCTTTCTTTCGCATCACAAATTATTCTTCTGGCTGGTAAGGCAGACTCCCAAGCCACTTCCAAACCATACACTGTTACTAGCTAGGTCTCTGTTCTGATCAATTCCATTGAACAAGGCCTTGGTATATGTTATTCAGGTGAAGGTCTGGAACAGTTTATTGCTGTCTACCTGGGCACAGTGCTCTGTAACTGCAAATTACAGGCAAACCCGTATTAGTAACTTCCTTCTCCTTATGAAGAGGGAACAGTGAAAAAAAAACAAACCAAAACAACCACCAAAAACGCACACAACAGCCAACAGTGCCTGTCAAGTGGCTCCTTTTCTTTGGCTTTTTGTACCAAAGACATTTAGTTTATGACTCTCTTATTTTACCTGCCAAGTCTCTCTGTTCTTGCTCAGTTCAGGCTGCTGCCCACATTGCCAAATCATAAAAGTATCATTTCTGTTCAGTATACAATGATGTGTACACAATCTGTGAAATACTTTACTGCCTTCTAAATCTCTCTCGTTCCAAGTTCTGTGCAACTTCAGGAGTATGTAAAGATTACTTTGTCTCCATGCCATGGTGCTTATTTTTCTTCTTTCATGCTGTTTCCATCCTAGTTTGTCTTACAGACTTGTTCTGCCACTCCACCTTCTTTGCTGGGTAGTGCTACTCTTGTTGCAATACCCTGCATCGGTCCCATTCCCATCTGTGTCTGGACTTTTTAGCTGTGTACGATCTACCACTGCTGACTTCCAGCATGGACTCAGTCTTTCCCAGCTGTTCCTTTCCAGTTATGCATATGCTTACATGTTTGCTTTACTGGGGGCATTAGTGCTCCAGCCCAAAACAGTTTTGCTGCTGGCTTCAGTAGTGTCAAGAACATCAGTTTAAGACTGGCTCAGAAGACAAGCAAGTGTTGTTTCTTGTACTGTTCCAGACACTTGCTTTGGTTCATTAAGGTGGTGTCCAAGATGGTATTCCTCACAAACTGGTCTCACCTTGAACACAAGAAGTTTAGACTTAGGTCCCTTTGTATGGACCTATGGCTAGGTGTGGAAACACTGTCCAGACATCACTACTTCCTAGTCATGACCCTGGCCAGTTTGGCTACTCCAAAGTACTCCCAGTACTCCAGTACTGGGACACTTGGTGAAAGATTCTATTACCTGTTCTTGATTTGAGAATTGTTTCCCCACATGACTTTCCTCTGGTCATGCCTTGTCACAGCATTCTTCCTAACTGAGCGTCTGAATACATTGCTGCGTATTCAGACATAGTCTTCAAAGCTGCTTGGGACGCAATAGGAAGCCAGTAGCCAAAAGGGGCTGACTGCTCATGAAATCCTGTCTCCAGATCTGGCACTGAACACTTGAAAGTCTTGTCATTTCCATCTTTCAGCCAGTCACTCAGGTAGCTCATTACAGATAGGAAATGGAGCAAAGTTTTCTACATTGATCATTTTGTATTAATTAGGACATTATGTGTTTATGTTTCTACTCAAAGAACAGCCTTTGCAAGCAGGAAAATGCTGAGAGATTCTTGCTTTTCCCAGCACTTCCAGGTTCTGGATCACTAACTTGAATGTCTCAACTATGTGAGAGCTGTAGACTCCTGCTTTGCAAATACAGCCCTTCTGACATAATAGCAGCATAATTTTTGCTGCTTAAACCCTGTACCCACTTGGGTGACAGGACCACCCTTGATTACCCCTTGTACAAAGTTATTATTTAGGAAAAGCCTGTATTTGTGGGGAAAGTAGGAAGCAAAGACACCATTGCCTCATTACATGGTTTATTAGTTGGTTTGGATTTTTTCCTGTTCTCAGGGAGTTAGAAGTGATGCCTTGAAACCTTTGAGGTGCAAAAGGTACAATATGAAATTGGTGAGATTTGTGCTAGTCTTCTCATTTCAAGTAAAGGAGGTTTTTGCTGTACTTGGTTGGTCAGTTACAATAGTTGTCTTTAATTTCTGGGATGATGAGGCCAGATTTGGCAGTGTTTCCATTCACAAGATCTTGGTTCAGGCTCATCTTTGACAATGACAGTAATTGAGATTCTAAAAGAAGAAAAAAGCAAGGAAAGGCACAAAATCTGAAA